GGTTAGTGTTAAGAGACAGATCTTCCTCAAACTGGGCTGTGCCTGGTTGGAGTAAACTTCCTTCCGCTCTATTGCCATATCCTAGGATCGAACAGACATGCGAAGCAAATAGGGTTCTAAAAGTATCCGGGGTAACTTTGTAGTACGACCTTCGCAAAGCCCAAAGCATTCGGTTGACTGCTGCAACCTGCATGTCAAGTGATGTTTTGAGATCGTGCAAGACGATGACTTTCAGGTCCTTCTCATGTATGAGACTTGAGGAAATATCCTCCGATATGATACCCACCAAAAGGGTCCTGGTCACCAATCGGGAGAACGGCACATTTGTCACGGTTTACGATGAGTCGCCACTCAACGGACCAGTTATGCATCTGGTCAAGCTAAGCTTGGAGTTTATCGGCATCTTCGGGGCAAGATATTTCAGACCACAGTCTAAGGTCACCAGCGTAGACTAAACAGTCAGTTTGAAGTGTCGCTGGAAGATCCTTGATGTGCAGTTTAAAGAGCTCTGGTCCAATGATGGAACCTTGGGGAACCCCATTGCTCTGAGGGACAGAGAGTGTTTAGTTCACCTTCACGTGAATGGTTCGTGCTTCCAGGAAGTCTGAAATCCAAGACAAGAGGTTTCCGTTGACACCAACTCCCTGATGTTTGAACAGATGCCGTTTATGTGATAACTTGTCAAATGCCTTGTTGAAGTCAATAAAGACGACATCAAAGTGTCTCTCGTCTGTTGCTTTAACCCATGCTTCTATGCCAGCAAACAGGTTAGTGATGCAGAATCCGTGCTGTGATGGGGAGATTACGCGTAAGCCTTCCCAGTGAGCATTGAAAGCGCGCTTGATTATTCTCTCCATGATTTTGCAGACAACGGATGTATCAGCCGATAGTTCGCATGGTCTTGCCGCTCACCTTTGTATTTAGGCATTGCTGTTCCCACTTTCCAAGCGCTAGGTAAGCGGCCCTCACCAAGTGAGAGCCGGAATACTTGTAACATTGGATAGACGATGTACTCAGCCAACATCTTGAGGAATAGTGGGTATAGTCCGTCAGGCCTGGTGCGGAGCTAGGGTTCGACTCACGATTTAGTCGCATGACCATCTCGACGCTAATTTAACTTACTGCAGAGTTGAGGAGCACGTGGGCACGTCCTTGTTGGGCAACGGTGGCTCTACCGAATAGATCGCTGAGCACTACTGGGCCAATAAATTGGCTTTCTCGCCATCGTGATGTTTCAGTGCTTTCTCCAGGGGCAAATAGAGAAGGGACACCAACGCCTGTTTTGGTATTTCACCTTATGTATGAGAAGAGCTCCGGGCACGTTCGGGATTAAACAGCCAGGTATTGTCTGTATTTAGCTTACTTCTGCCGCTTTTTCAGGGTGCACAAGTTTCGAACTTCTACTGTAGTCTTGAATGCAGTCCAGAGTTTACGCCGCCTATTCAGCAAGAATCTCAGTTTTTGGTCGATCCAGGGGTCCTTTTAGAACGGTCTTTTTCTGGACCTTGGGACAGCCTTTTCGATGATCGACGTCATCTTGGACAGCAGTAGGTTCCATGATTCATCGACACTCAGGACAGTCGGATACTGCAATCTTCCGTTCTTGCTGCAGCGTGTTATTTGGGTGGATCTGTACGAAATGCTCCGTAGTCATTGATGATAAGACGTCTTATCCACAAGAAGCAGACTGCTGAGTGGTCGTCTCGGCCGAGTATTTGGAAGGTCTCCAAGTCACAGACGTCAGTGGGTATCAGATTGAAAACCAGATTAAGGATGTTTGATGTCTTACCCGGGAGAATCCGCGTTACTGTATAGTTGTGCTGAATTGGATTGCATTTCTGAACAGCGTCGAAAAGCCCCATGTCGAAACAATCTTGCGAAAGGTTACAATGAGAAAGGTTCCAATTGATACTGTGTTTATTAAAGTCCCTCATTAGCAGACAGTTTCTGCTTCTGCCATTGGTTTTTGATCAAGTCCAGGAGATGTGAGCCTGAACCCGAAGAAGCTCTGTAGGTAACGCCAATCGTTAGTTTTTGGTGACCATCATGTATCTGACACCAAAGCATTTCAGAGGCAGCGTTATTGTCGGGGAACGCTTTAAGAATGGGAACTTTGAGGCTGTCTCTCCCTCCGGTCTTCCCATCACTACAATCAGCTCGTGAGAGTTGATATCCTGGTATGCTAATTTCTGTGTCCAAGACCTCAGAGCACAGCCAAGTCTCCGTAAACGCCAAAACACCAAAACAGAGATAAGAAGTGGAATCTCGTCAAGTTTGTTCTTGTGGCTACGCACATTGGCAAGTATTACTTACAGACCTCTGTTTGCGCCAGAACGTTGGGTAACATAAGAGTTGACCGCAAGCGCGCTTTCGGTGTTCTCCTCACTACGCGAAAATCCACAATATGGAGATCAGTTTCGCCATTGGCTCTACGCTTGAGTAGCTCACTGACAACTTCTTTCATTTTAACTCCATTTCCGCACAGAGATCTCTCAGGGCGGTGAATGTTTCACCTTTAAATCGCGAAGTGCGCCTGAGGATTTGGCGGCATTCTTCGTCTTGACAGACGACTTTAAGGGACGGAACTTTGTAGGACCTTCCTGACTTCTCCCCAGGCGGAAGGCTGAGACGATGTTGATGCCTTGCTTCCATCCATCGAATAGCATGGATACCATTCGTTTGAGGAATGCCTGGTCGCCAACGATCATTTCAGCTGTGCTCTTTTTGTCGGATTCCGGAACATTTGTAATAATCAAACACCGTTCCCTAGAAGGTCTGTTTTCTCTTGGTTTCTCTAGTTTTGATGCAACCGGTTTTTCGGTTATCAATTTCTAAATTTGTGTGACTTTAATCAAACACGCCTCAGTTGCGTTGACGTTGAGTTGGATTTCGCTGTTTCTGCTGGCTGCCTTCCTGACTTGTCGGTTCGGGACATGGTTTCGCTAGCTCCATTTTCAGATCCAGTGCGCGCCGCCGCCGCGTAGGTCTTCGTCTTGGTCACATTTCCAGGTGCAGTTTCCTGGCCTTTTTGCTCTGTGTCATGCAAACGCGCTCCCGCAGGTGAAGCGGAGAGTTTGTAGTGACAATGACATTTTACTCCATCAAGCATCGCCACCAGACTTGTACACATTTTGTTTTACTTTGCACTCCTCCAAAGCCTATAAATACTGGACTGTATTTTTGAACTTGGTCAGCCATCTTGCCCGCGTGTTCCCGGCAGTTGCGCTTCGTCTTGGTGAAACTCATTGCTTCACCACTTTCTCCCACTGCCCTCAGGCTATATTTACATAGCTATTGTACAGTGCTATTTTCTCAAGACCTTTATATTCTGCCGTCTTCTGTCTTACTGGGCTACGGATTTCTTGTGTAGCATTCGTCAAAGCGCTACAGGTTATCGACTTCGATTGTGCTAGGGGATGACGGAAGGAGACGTAAATGATGAGGCAGTTGACGGTATAGTGTTCTTCGCGACCTTTTGCGTTGAGGTCAAACAGACCATATGGGATTTTTCACTTACAACAATTCGGCACTGATCACAGTGGAACGTAATACTGGATAAAGCTGTTCCTTTTAAGCTTTCCTACAGGTCGGTTTCGATACTGCAGCAGGTTGTGTGGGCCCATCCTTCACGTAGCCTACATTGCACGGCCTTAGCTCTTGAGGTGACACTTTTACCGCAGTTCAGGCACTTAAAGGCCATTGTTTCGTAGTGGCTGGGCAGACCCTCAATCGTTTGAGTCAGTAACGCAAAACTCAGAAGCCAAGGAGAAACGCAGGCCTCGCTATCCGCGCATTCTACACAAAGAATAAATAATGCGGGGCCACCAATTATGTAAGGAATACCAAGTCAGTTAAACTAGGTTGATCTTATATAAAGTTATCCTGATTCACTTCAGTGTCTGCCGACGCTAAAACCGCAGGCTATGTAGTAGGAAAACGTATATTTCGACGATAGATCAATCAGGCAACAGAGCGCACAATCACAACGGCAAACCGGCAGCAACCAAGGAAGAAGTGAGTAGGAGCGAGGTGCAAATCAATTTCGGTTCAAAGTGGACAGCTCGACACGATCACAAGTGGCATTTGTATAAGAGCCAAATACTTCCCGTCCGTCCAGAGGATGCTTTATCAATTCGTGTAATGAATGGTTGGAACGGTCTACGTGAGATCCTTGCTGATGCTTTTGACGATGGGAGCAGAGTTATTCAAGGTGTCAATCTCGGCAGAAGAGCTGGAAGCTATTTTGCTTTAACAGCAGCAGCAATCCAAGGCGGCACAGCTGTGTATGCTCGCGACTTTCATTCGAACACTATCGCTCCAGTCTACATCAGTCCACAATGCTGAGAGGCCTTCAGTTGATGCAATGATCAACAGTGTCAGTGCGTTTGTTTTTATCCCGATCCATGACTGATTTTCGATGCATGATTCAGACGTTGAGAAAATATTTCCAAGACGGAGCTGGCAAATTTTGATGACCCGTCGAAAGTACGGCTGCTGCTCATCATCATCAACAGCAGTACATCAGCCATTTGAACTGATGCTTCGCTGCCATACAACCATGAGGACCTATGAAATAAAGAATAAAAAGAGGCAGAGAAGGGGGACTTACCTGAAAACCTTAATGCCCTAAGCAAACATTCAGGGTCAAGGCGCCTACACCTTGTGTAGACAACATAACGTCACAAACAGCTGGCTATCGTGCAATGATAAGGCGGCCTCGGCGAGACAGCTTCCTTGCGGCTTTCACTGCCCCGCGTCATAATCAGCCATTACCCCGCAGATAACTCAGCACCAAACACTTTAAGTAAGCAATCCGACTAGGAGATG